ACTGAAAAATTTGAAAATAATTTTGTTGACTCAAAATAATTATTAAAATAATTATTTTGTAAAGCGTTTAAGCTGATTGCCAGAATATCAAGTTTTTTACAGTATTGCTCATTATTCTTGAATTTCTTACATAATTATTTTAATTGTCTAAAATTATTTTTAAATTTGTATCTAGCTACATTTTTAGATATTTCAGCAAAATCATTTTATTCGTGTATCATCTATTAATTCTAGCCATTTGTATTTTCATTGTTATTACACATGCACTTTCGAATGCACTGTGCGAGACAGATATTTCAATTATAGTGCTTTCCAAACACGAGGAAGATTATTGTTTCGAACACGAATACGTTATATTCTCTATATTTTCTTCGTGGTCTAGAAGTTTCCGCGATATGAGATGCCAGAGTCTTCGTCCTTCGGGGACGCCTTACTTTCTTTTGGTCTCTCATTCGTCTTATATACGTGGACGCTCACGTCCCATCTTGACAAGCCTGCTCGCCTTATCGCCCTCGCTTCATTCTCGCCGACATCATAGGAAATTGCGGACAAGTTTCCCTTGAGGCGGTGGCCTCACGGAGAAATTCAACCAATTAGATCGATGGAAAACTTTCCTATCGCAAGGCTTAACCGGTGAGCAAGCAACCTCAAGTCTCTACTCTGCTCTTAGCGTCATGGACGCGTGTATATGTGCGTGCGTGCTTTGAACGGATGGTGTGATACGCACGGCCCGAAGTCGAAGCTCGACATCCCACGTACGGACACGTCTGTTCTACACCCACGCGAACGCCCCGAGAATATCTAATGAACCTTATACTGATGAAGACGCGGTGCACGGTGATGATTCGATCTCTACGCGTACTTAGCGGCGGACTCTGTAATTCCAAACCGCGCATGCATCTATCCGCTACAGCGATGTGTAATCAAGCGATAGAAAGTTTCGGACAAGTTCTGCGGTCCGCGTAGCGGAAGAAGCTACAGACAATTCTCTATATGCGCCGAAGATTGTCGCCTGGAACTGATTTCCAGCTGCCGCTCTTGACAACTCCGTTGAATATAATACGCGAGAGAATACGAAATTATTATTGTTTTGCAAGTTGTCTGAAACGTGAAATCGCGAAATAAAGTTGGACTGCTAATTCTTGCAAATATTATGGATAATTTTTGTAAGTTTGAAGGTGTGTTTAATATACATGATATTAGGGGAAATAACGTCTTCGGAGGTTTCTTATAAAAATATAACTTTTTCTAAATATTCAAGAATGTAGCTCATGTGTATTTAATTCAAATTTTTGAATTAAATACAAAATTAATTTCATTATTTAATTGATGGATGTATTTTTTACACGAATAAAACAAAAATTTTTTTTAATAGTTGAACTAATTGACAGTTTAGAAGCGAACTATGCATTGTATACATTGTACGATATTTATGCACGAATGTTTTGTATGAATTAATGACGTGCATGGTAAATCGAAAATTATAGGAAAATACCGATTGAAAACAGCGAGAGCACTGCGTATTATATAACTTGATTTGAAAAAAATATTTTTAGATTTGAAAATATCCAGTACAAAAATAAAAAAGAGATAGAAATAAAACAGATTAAATTCTTAATTATAAATTTTATATATAAAATAACAAAATGGATTTTTAATTACAATTTTAGTTTAAAACATTTATTGCATAAAAGGAAATAATAATTCATGTTTAATTACAATATTTTATATAAATGTTTAGTCCTAGTAATGTAAAATAATGCAAAATATATTGTGAGAAATGTGATTTTTAATTATAGTAGCACATAATTAATTAATTATGGAACAATTAAGTTATACTATTATGCATGAGAAGGCATATTAAATGATGGAGCCAATTGTATTAATTATAACCCCGTGCATAAGTAATTGAAAGTTAACAGATTCGATCGATATGTACTTACCGATTCTAATAACCGGCGGAAGCGACATGGCAGTGGTGATCGAAACGACGATTATGACGAACAACAGTGCCATTGTGTCCAACGTGAAAATAATTCGCACTTGGACGACTATGACATCGTTCGTGCGGATTTTTCGTAAGACAAAGTGCGATGAAGGAACGGAAAGGAAATCATAGATACGCGAAGTTGCTCCGATTTCACCGACACTTTAACACCAAACTGCACATCTTCAGAAACTCGTTGCACATTGGATGAGATTTTTAGACGACCATCATCTTCCGTGCGGGCTCGACCTGAAAAATAAAACGAAAAAATTCGTAATACATCAAAGCAGATAATATTGGGCAAAATTATGAGATTGCACGATGATACTCATTCCAATTAAAAAAAAAATTAGAATACAGAAAATATGGGTAAAAAAATAAATTTAATAATTAAATTTCATTTTGTGACATTTAAAATATTATATTACCGCAACTTTTTTATTATACAATGTAATAATAAAATACTTTTACTTTAATTACTTTTTAATTTTCAACTATACGCATATTAAGAAATAAAATTTTTGTAATTTTTCGTCGTTACACAAGTATGTCTGCAAATCACGCAATATTACTCATATTTGTTCATTGATATAGTTTTCTGGTCAAATGGACATCTACCGGGAAAATAATGCAGGCGTAAAATAACTGACCTCATAAAATCAGGATCTGAACAGACCAGCAAAATGCAATCTGCTGGAGGCCGTGCTTTTTCGCTGGTAAATTAATTGCTTAAATGGCTAGCACGGTTTTATATGGGATCGTTTGTTGAAAGTAACAACAGTAGGTTACGATTTATGAATTTCGTCCAAAACGAAAAATATAAGCTTGTACCGTTAGAAATGTGAAATTGGTTGAAATTCATTAGCTAAATAAGAATTCTAATATATCTACGTATATTGTTTCTAGTCGCTTGTTTTCTTTTCTGCCTTTCAAAAGAAAATAAGTATTTATTTATAACCACCTAAGAATAGTTAGAAGATATTTTTAATTTATTTTATGTTTTGTTTATAATAATTTTATATTTAAGATGATTTTCTAATCTAAATTAAGCCTTTTAAGTATGTATAAAAAATATTAGGCTTTATTCCAAACAATATAATCAAATTAAAGAAAAGTAATTAACAATACATGATAGCATCACTTATATATTGCACGTAATAATAACTTTCTAAAAGAGAGATTGCGATTTGAAGGGCATTGTTCTTTTTAATATAATCTGTTTAGTATAATCCATTATGATTTAATGTAATTTGTGAACACATATCAACAATGTTGAAACATGGTTTAGTTTAGTTTTCCTTAGTTATATTTAATCTCGAAGACGGCGAGAAAAGGACTATGGTCTCTGGAGTGAAATCAGCAGGGGGTCCACGTCTCTATTCCCGGAAGTGCATTTTCCGGAGGGATAGATGGAAAAAAGAGAGTTCGACCTCCCTAGTAGATACGACCTCCATTACGCTGGTGCCGGAGATACCAAGGGAACAAGAGAGTCCCTTTATTTCCGAAGCGATTCTGGAGTTTTTGGTTCTGCTACGATAATGTCTCCACGCCCGACTCTACCTCGATGTGCCGCATTGTGTTGCGCGACAGTCCCGTTCCCGTAACTTCGATCACGCTAACGCGACAGATAGAGTTCGTACTTAAAACTGTGTTACGAGAAAAATGTAGTTGAATCAAGCGCTTTCGCAGCAAGCAAACTCCCTCAATCTCAACATTCCGTGGAGCAAATTACAAGAAATACTACAAAATAGCGAGAGACACAATAACGTTATAATTTTTACCGTAAAATGGTTAACGGAGTTTGTGAATTTGCGGGCTCAACAATTTTATATTTCATGTTTGATATGATTATTATTCTTTTTTCTTGATGTCTGAATGTATCTATATAGAGAAATGATTTTGCTGAAGTATTTCAAAAATTTAGCTAGATACAGATCTGAAAATAATTTTGTTAGACCATCAAAATTTTTAGATAGGACATTCAATTGACATTTTAGCAATCAGTTTGAGTATCTGACCTAAAATTTTTGATGGTCTTACTCTATCAGAATTATATTCAGATCTGTATCTACCTAAATTTTTGAATATTTCAAAATCGCAAATTCTCTCTGTGTAGCGAGTATTATTGACATATAGTTATTATATACATATGATTATACATACATCAGCGCAATCTCTGATTTCTTAGTCTGTATTAACTCTTAATTAGATCATTTCTGCGCATTTCTTTTTTTTTTGAAATACTAAGAACACCATGTAATTAACACAAACGACAAAACGAGCCATTATGTGTAGTAAAGGTTTATATTAATTACATACTCTACATTTAATTAGGTAAACATTTGATTAGCAATTCGCTTATATTGTTCTCATTACTGATAAACATATTTAATTAACATAAAATTATTTATTTATAATTAAGTATATGAAAAAAATCCTCTAATAATTTCTATATACGTGTAAAAATGATAATTTTGATAAAGATTAGCCCTGGAGATAAATAATCTATTATGTGTAATAAAGAGTCGGAAAATCATTATATGTAATAATCCATTATATGTATTAAGGATTAATATTACATACTTAATTACTTAAATATTTGATTAGCAATTTGTTTATGTTCTCATTGCTGATAAATATGTTTTAATACGTGAAATTAATTATTATTTATGCGATAATCTCTTTTGCTGTAATATCATTTATTTGACTTGCCACAAGTTATTTCGTAACCTCTATGATTATTAATATCATAGATATGAATTTAATTACACTAGTATCTATCGATAGACGTAGGTACATGTAGTTACATGATGTAACATGCAAATGTCGAATAACACGAAATGCAAGGCTTCGAATATGCGATTCGAATTACTCGTACACTGTGCGCAAATGAAGAAGCCAATTAATTACATTTCCGTTATTAATATCAGTTAAATTATCGGTTAAAAATTTCTTTATCTATTGTAACATTGATCTGTTAGACTCTTTTCATGTGGCAATGATTTATACGCTGTAACGTACGGTGCGTAAAGTGGAAGCGGAAAGCTGACTGGGATTAGCCCTCGGTATCAATATTTGATGTTCAAAATGCTGGTCAGAAGAGTAAAGACCTCGCGCATACCATTCGTCGAATCCACCCTCGCGCGGACGACTGACTCTCAACAGAAGTTCGGTGTCGATACCGCATGCGGCTCACGCTTTTGCCATTAGAGTTAGCGTAAACGGATTTCAACTAACCCAATTTAGTCGGGGGTAACTTTGCCTCTCGCTGCGTATTTGTTTGCTGAATGGCGCGGTTCTAAGCGTGCCGCTTGATTATGTAGGTGTGTCCGTTGCGTTTGAAATTTGACTTTTTTCATTCTGCCGTCTTTCGCCCCGTCGGCGATTACGTGTGGCGTTCACTCTCCTTTCTCTTGCATAGTTCTCTTAGTGACTCGAGGCAGATTTTCGCCCTTAGCAAAATCGTCATTCTGTTAGTTCATCAAATCACGACAAAAATATATAAAATTATGCACATTTTTTTTTAAATATATTTTAAAGCATATGCGTTAAAAACATGTTTCAACAAAGTATAAAAAGATATAAATGCAAATGTGATTTTTTTGTTAATTGATGTTTATTTATTAATATTACTAATCAGTAATTTATAGTGACAATTAAAGAATTAAATGTATGTTAATTATAATTATGCGATTCATAATTTATAGTAACACACAGTTACACATATGTTTAAGGAATTGAATATATGTTAGAGGAAGAGAGAACATGCGCTTTTTTGCGGCGTGGGTAACATTCGCAGTGCGTTTTATCGCCGATAAAAATTGCATTACACCTGCTCTTTATAGGTTTTACGATCGAGAGGGATTAACTTGGTAGCAATGACCATGTCTCTCTAGATCGTAAAACATTGCTAGTAACTATAATTCTGAGGAAAAATTTTTTTCTTTTTTCTGAAGAATTTTTTTCTTCTTCTTGGTGTTATTTAATTCTACAATTTATGTATTTACTTTATTCTAGTTTGAGTAAAACGTTTCAAACTATTTGATATTGCGTCTTTATGTTACGTTTCTAAATAAATGCTGAATAAATCTTAAAACTGTAAATTTGTAGCTTACAGAATAATAACTTTTTACTTAGCTGTAAGAAACTGAGTTATAGTTTTACATAAACTGCAATTCCATACAGTTGTACATATATATATATATCCATACCATATGTTATATATCCGTATATGATGAGTAAGTTCATTGAGTTGTATACTGCACTGTTATTTGAAAGTGCATGAATGAAAGGTTATCAAATTATTTGAAGCGTGAGATATTTTGATTGTTTTCTTACCATATAATTTTTAGAAAGTTGGATTAAATTACTTCTTGTTTATATATGTATATATATATATATTATATATATATATATATTTCTTAAAATTCCAATATATGTGTAATATGTTTACATTACAAAAACAAATATGTAAAAAGTGTTTTCAATATATGTGTGATTAGTTTGCCGCGTAAAAATAACACATTATTATAATATATGTATATTGTATGTAGTATAATGTATTATTTTTATACGAAAAATTAATCACATATACACATACAATATTGAAGCCATTTTTTACACGCTTGTTTTTGTAGTATATATTTTTATTATAGGTGTGTGTGTGTGTGTGTGCGTGTGCGTGTGCGTGCGCGTGTGCGTGTGTGTGTGTGTGTGTGCGTGTGTATTCGTGAAGTGATAGTATAACTGGGAAGAGAATAATTTTATATGAAAAAATAGACAAAAAAAAAACAAAATTTTTTCATATATAACTTTGTTTTCGAGAATATCGGCTTTAAATATTTGCCGAATATTGATTTAATTGATAAATTAATGCATCAAAACATGTTAAAAAGCATTTATAGAGATTTACTTCAGAAAGCAGAATTGTATATTCAACAAAATGGACAATATTTTCAACAATTTCAACAGAAAGTAATAAAATTTGTCATGCGTGAATATCTTGTTTTATTGTGTATTCTCAATTACCTAATACAATAATAAACACAAATATGAGTAGAAATAATAATCTCCCTTTTTGATTGTACTACCAATTTACAAAAATATCCTGTATAATAATACTGACAGTACTAAATTACTAAATACTATATATATTAAAATTCACGAATCTCATATATAATTTTACAGATGATTTTCTTGCTAGAGAAATAAAAT